CCCTACCCTACCTTAACTATAAACCCAAAACCCTAAACCTACGAAACCTAAACCCTAACCCTAAACCCAAAACCCAAAAACCTAAACCCTGAACCTAACCCCTAAAACCCTAAAGCCCTATAAACCCTAAACCCTAAACCTACGAAACCCTTTGCGAAGCCGCAAAGCGGTCCAGGCAGGTCAAGCCACGGAGCCGGAAGCGCTGTGTCTGCCGCGCCACGCATTGGTCCTACTATTTAGAGGGTTTAGGGTTTAGGGTTTAGGGTTCAGGGTTTAGGGTTTAGGGTACCTTATTCTGGGATCCTTGTAATAAGGATCCTACTATATTTGTGGTACTAAAATAAGGTCGCGGGCGGCTTTGGGGACTTAGGGTGCTCTTTATAGGGTTTTGGGGTTCAGGGTTTAGGGTTTAGGGGTTATGGGTTTAGGGTTGAGATTTAGGGTGCGAAGCTTTGTGGCTTTGGGTGTGGGATTTGGGGTTTTATTCGGGTTTTAGGGCTGAGGCTGCTGTAGTCGTCTACTTGCGAGGCGTGTTTTGGGATGCTTGCGGCTGCTGGTGTTTCTTTTTGCAAGGTCCTGAGCTTTGGAGTCCCAGATGATTGAGACCACACTGGGCTGTATAGTCATTATATCATTATCTCAACCCGAAACCCTAAACCCGAAACCCTGAACCTTAACCCCTAGACCCTAAACCCCTAAACTCTAAACCCGAAACCCTAAACCTCTTTGGTTCAACGTCTTCACAACGAACAGTACAGGTTCGAAGCTAAGGGCTTTCTGTTAAGGGTATCTGTCTTGCGTCGGGGCAGTGGGCTAGGTCGGTGCATGGGTGGCCTTCGATCGTTGGGTTGCTGCTTGTTTGTTTTTGTTTCGGCGGGTTTAGGGTTTTGAAGGTTCGGCTCGGTTCTGCTTAGGATTTGGGCCTTGTCAACTCGTAAGCGTCTAATCCTTTCTTAGCCTATCGACAATCGTGACTACAGATGTTATACCCTTGTGCTTTGTGCCCGAAACGCTAAACCCGGTAATATTGGGTTCTTAATAATTACCAATACTAGTTTGGGGGGGTTCCTTATCATAATTAGACCATGAAGGACCCCAAAATCCCGTTCTGATTTTTCAGGCCCCTACGTTACAGATGTTTCTACCAAAGCCCTGAAGCCACCGAGGTTCATGGGAAATACAGGGGCATTCATAATTACCTATCCTTGTTTTTTGCGGGTTCCTCATTATGATTATAGTATAATATACCCCAAAACCCTATTCTAATTACTAAGGCCTTTACATTAGGGTTCAGGGTGTTTGCTTGGTGGCCTGAAAGCAAAGATTGAGGCTGCAGTGGTCAGTTCGAGAGCTAGCCTCAAGCTTCAGACCGGAAACTTCGAAGGGGAAATGTAGGACCAGCAGTTTAGTGTTTACGGCTTAGGGTGTAGGCTTCAGGGCAGTGTAGATTGTAATCTGCAAAAAGAACTTATAACCCTTTCTAAAACCCTCGCGGAGTTCAGGAGTTAGTGTTGCTGCCGTGCGCCAGGCCCATTGACCTTCGCGAAGAGTGCCCAGCAAATTTGCCTTTTCGGAATCCTGGCTGTGCGGTTTTGGGTTTAGGCTTCCAGATTCAGGGCGTAAAGAAATCGAGTTTCGGGGCTCAGGGCTGAGCATTTTGGGGGTTTTCGGGCTTAGGGTGAACAGTGGACGGCCGGCGGAAGGTGCCCTAAATGCAAATTCCCCTGCCCCCACCCATCTCACTTCGATTCTAACCACATCTAAATACCTTCCATTAGGGGCCAGACACCCTCATTAAGGGGTACTTGGAGGATCGCGGGACTTAGCAAGTAAGGTTATAAGTCCCCTAATTGGGCTTATAACTATAGTTGCCTTGTTTATAACCTTAGTTACTAAGTCCCATGATCCTTCAAGTACCGGCAGGGTCCTGGAAGAGTGAGTACAGGAACACCTGGAGACTCCGACTCTTCACCCTAAGCACATGGGAGTTTCAGAAAATTAGGGTACCTTATTTTGGGGTCCTTATAATAGGGATCCTATTAATTAGGGTACTATATTAGGGTCCCCTATTTTCGGAAACCCCCACATAAACTCCTTCAGCCAAAACCCCAACACCCCAAAGCTTTTTTCAGTAGAGCCACACTTGGCACCGATTTTGTGTGCTGTTTTCATGTCCTATCCGGAATAGCTACCATCAGGGGCCAGGTTCCTTTTAACTTAAAGCCCTAAACCCTAAACCCTATAATGTAGGGGTTTTAATAATTACCTATACTGTTCTGGGGTTCCTTATTAGAATTGTAGTATCATATGGCCCAAAGCTCTATTTTACTTATTAACACCCCTATACTATACCCTTATTACAGGGTGCAGTGGGACAGATTCATTAAGGCCCCTGTACCCTAACCCCTCATAGTAGCCCTTATAGAACCCTGTAAGGAACCCTTTAAAGGAACCCCCAAAACCCTACTCTAACTTATTAAGGCCCCTATGTTATATTATTATTTTACAGGGTGCAGTGGGACAGACTCAAGGTCCCCATACCCTAAACCCTTAAAGTAGCCCTTATAGAACCCTTTAAAGGAACCCCAAAGGACCTTATTCTACTTACCCTTATGGGACAGATTCTGTGTTGAGGTGATCACCAGCAGCTTCGTCCCATCCTCAAGAGCCAGCTGACGGAGGCCTTCTCCTCTGACAAAAATATGTGGGTTTAGGGCGTATCGGGTTTATAGGGCTTTCATAGGGTTTATAGGGTTTTCATAGGGTTTATAGGGTTTACAAGGGTTTAGAGGATTCAGGGTTTAGGGTTTAGGGTTTAGGAAGGGTTTAGGGTGCAGGGCCTAGAGAAGCTTCATGCCCAGGACGAGGTCAGCGTCTCATAACCCCCATCACCATGACATTGTACAGTGGTCTCTTCTTCCCGGCCGACACCATCATGCTCAGCTTCTTCATCTTCGCCCGTGAACCCTATATTTATGATTCACCTGCATCCCACAAAGCCCAGACACACAAAGCTTAGGTGCTTCGGGGGAGTTATACTGCAAGTTACACCATAACGGAGTAGGGATTCCGAGATGCTGCCATGAAGCGGAATCCTGATGGCTAGAGCTCGACCCCTGCCCTAGAGAGCAGCGACAGACAACTCAGACGACTTCTTAGTCACTCTCAACACCATAGAACCCTAAGCCCTAAACTCTAAACCCTAAACCCTACATGCCGCAAGTGCTTCAGAACTGTTGAATCCGAACAAACTCCTCAGGAAGTCCTACCGCAACGTTTCCAACTAGAATCGTAGCCGAGGGCCTCAAGAGCGGTAGGATGAAGGCAGCTGGGAATACGGATCCCTTCCATGCCTGGGGTTGTAGGGTACAGGGTTTAGGGGTTTAGGAGTTTAGGGGTTTAGGGTTGAGAGTTTAGGGTCGAATTTCGACGGTCATAGGCCATGTACTCCTCTTTCAGGGCACAGGGAGAGCCGTCCTAAGGATCCCTCCTTGAGCAGCTACCCTAAGGCTCCCTGTACCCAAGTAATAGATACTTTGGCCTTAAGTGGTCTCTCTCTCTCTCTCTATATATATATATAGGTACTTTGGGGCCAAAAGTATATACTACTTGGGCACAAGGACCCTTGGGGCTGAAGCCTTCGAACAAAAAAAAAGGGAGAGCGCATCTCGAAGCCTGACAGGAACCCTCACAGGCCCCATTTTTTGTGAGGCCCTGTTTTTGGGGTTTCCGGGCGAATTCTCCAGGGTCCAGGTAACCAACCCCTCATGTGGGGACCTAAATGGTTACCATACTATTTTGGGGTTCTCTTGTTATAATTACAGTATAATGGGCCCCCCAACCCCATTCTAATTATTAAGCCCCTACATGAACCCTAAACCCTACAACCCTACCAAACCCTAAACCCCAAACCCTCAATTAACCCCTAGACCCTATAACCCAACCCACATAGCATCCTCGGCATGTGGAAGGGAGCTGGGCTGGCGATTTCTTTGTTCGAGCGGCTGGTGCTCCAAGGCCACCTAAGCTCCGGGTTTGGGGTTTGGGTTTTTTTGGGGTTCTGGGGTTTAGGGTCTAGAGTTTAGGGTGTTGGGGTTTTAGGGTTCAGGGGCAGGCGGTGAAGCCCTACAGCACAAGAGTTTGGGCGTTAAGGGTGTTTGGACTGGTTTGCTGTGTGTGTTTTGCTGGGCGGGGCATACTCTTAGCCTGCTTGGGGCTTACATCCTAGTTTGTTAGCAAAACCTGAATCTGAAGTTCCTGACACGAACAGCACCGTAGCAATGAGGTTGCTGAGGCTGAGATTCTGAAAACTGGCCGTGTCTTCCCTAATTTTGAGGCCAACAGCTTGCAACATGGGTTAGGGACCTTTTTTTTGTGTGGGCTGCCCAATATTTCAACTCGAGCGCGTGAGATGTTGAAAATCCAAAGATCCCACTTGTTGGCCTTCTCTTTCCCGATTTGTCTGCTGGCTTTGAGGTTTGAGATGGCATCTTCCCAGTGAGACCTTCCAAAAACCTCGCCTACTGTATAGCCTGGCGGGTGTGTAGGTAAGCTTTAACATCTTGGGGGCTTAGTATAATCCTATGATCCTGTTGTAATTAAAAGGCTTAACCTCTTTTGGGGTAGGGCCATCCTAAACCCTGGGTACTCAGCCCCTTAAGTGCCTGAGGCCTCGGCGTCGTCGCTATAAGGCTCCAACCTCCGATACACCTGCTGCCAAAACCCGGAACGCCCCGAAGAGTTCGGGTTTTGGGGTTAGGGTGTAGGGGTTTGGGGTTTATGGGTTCGGGGTTTAGGGTTTATAGGGTGTATAGGGTTTATAGGGTTCATGCAGGGTCATACAAAGCCTGCAATCCTCAGAGAGAGAATGAGAGAGAGAGAGAGAGAGAAATGGCTTTTGGGGTTCAGGGTAGAATCGAACATGCATGACCTTCACTCACCCAGCGGAATGAAGAGCCGTGGGCAGGGAATGCGCTGCAGTTCTTGGCGCTGCAATACCGACGCCAGGAGCAATGGTTCATACTTTCCCTCATGGCTTATATAGAAGCCTAAGCAATTACCTGAAGGATGCCTTAGGGTTCCTTACTATAAGTATAGTATAATGGGCCCCCAAAACCCTATTCCAATTATTCATGCCCCTACATTAGTGGTAGCCCCGGTGCATACTGGAACTATTCGTATTAAGCAGGAAGGCCGCCAAAGCCATAGACCCGAAAGCCCTAAAACCCCAAAACCCTAAACCCGAAAGCCCTAAGCCCTAACACCCTAAATCCTAAATGTTTTCCCTATAATTACTAAAGCCGCAAGCCGATAGCCCCAAATTCCTCAAAACTCTACAGCCGATAGGCCTAAACTGTGCTGGGGGGTTGGGGATCCTTCCGGGTTTGTTTGCGAGGGAAGTGTCAGGGATACTAGGGCTGCAGCCTACTATAGGGGCCTAAATAATTACCTATACTATTTTGGGTGTTCCTGATGATGGTTATAGTATCACATACTTCAAAACCCTATTCTAAGCATTAAGGCCCCTGCCTTATTTGTTAAGAGAACAAGGGCTTCAGTGCGATCGCCTTCCGGTGCTCTGCGAATTTCTGCAGTATTCCAGCCTTCAGAGGCGCCAGGACTTCAGAGTTTTGGGGTGGCTGCAGACCCAGAGAGCCCGTCGGAATACTATAGGGGCCAAAAGAATTACCTATAGTATTTTTTGGGTTCCTTAGTTTACAGATACTATAATGGCCCCCAGAAACCCTACTCTAATTATTAAGGCCCTAACATTATCAGCATTCAGTTTCCGTCCCTTGCAGCATAGTATACCTTCAAGCCCTCTTCGACTTATCCAGGCGTTTATCCTACTCAAGACGTAAAGCTCCGAGTCCTCCCGAATGAGCCCGCGTAGTCAGCTGACGCACGAAAGGAAGCCAAGCCACAAAGACCACGTTTTGGCCCTAAACCCCCAGACCTCTAAACTCTACACCCCTTGGTACTCTAAACCCTAACCCTCAACCCTAAACCTCTAAACTCTAAACCCCTTAGTGCCCGAAACCCTAAAATCCGAGTATGAGATGCACAGAGGAACCCTAAAGGGTACTATAGGGTTCTATACTAGGGCCCCCCTTTTTTGTGGGGTGCTGTAGGGTTCTATACTAGGGTCCCCCCTTGAAAGAAGCCCCCCGGGCAGTGCAACCCGGGATCCGAGGAATGAACCCTGGCATCAGCTGGTTCCCTTCGCATCAGTTCTACGGAGGCTCCTAGGGTGTGGGGATTTGAAAAAGTGTTTTGGGTTCAGGGTTTAGGGGGCTTTAGGGTCTAGGGTTCAATTAGGGTTTAAAGGTTTAGGCCTTCTGCACTAGTATATAGCTAGTGTAGCTCCTTCTTTGGGGGGTTACTTCTCTAACCATGAGTTTGGTTTAACAAAAAAGGAAGTACAATGGACACTGAAGGTCAGCTCTCAGTCTTACTGTATTGTAGGGTGTTACAGGGCTGCTACAAGGGGTTGTCATGTAGTATTTTCTAGTATGTTATAGCATACCATAGTAGATTGTAGTCTTGTTTATGCGCTTCCTCTTGATATGGGAGGGTTTGGTTTTAGGGCTCCTTTACCCAACTCACAATAGCAATTCCTACTGCAGAAACCCTACTCGCTGCTCAGGACCCTTTGGGTTTGCAGTGCTTGGCTTGGCTGTTGACTGATGGGTCTCTCGGTTGGGTTCTACTTTGGGTTTGGGTTTAGGGTTTAAGGCTGCCGGTAAGCAACGATACTAAGAGTCCTCACATGACGACGATGTTCCTTGAGCCCATTTGGTTCAACATTGTGTCTGCTATTGTGCAGAGTCCATAGGGTTCAGGCCATCCGAGGGGCGTGTTGGGCATGGGGCTTTGCTTTTAGATGCTGTGGTTTGTTTTGCGAAAGGCTGTTCTTGAGTTGTGCCGGGGGACCGTATTGGGCTTATCGAAATCGGGGGGTTGATTTAGCGGCTTTGTGATGGAGGGTTGGGATTTGGGGTTTAGGAGAATCGCACAGTGCGTCCAGTCCCTCGCAAGCATGCCTAAACCCACTCCAACATGGAAAGTAGCGCCAAAGACACTTTCACGATGAACAGGCCACCTTTGAAACAAGTCGTACCCACCCACAAAGAGCTGTCGCAATATTTTCCTTCCTTGCAAGCCTACCTACCAAGTTCCTCAAACTTTGAGCCGCTAAACCCTAGAGCCCTGAACTTTGGACCCTCGAACTCTAAACCCTAAACTCTAAACCATCCTAAACCCTAAACCCTGAACGCAACCAAAGTCCTTAATTACACGTGGAACACCAAGGGAGCTTTCGTTTCACAGCAGCAACCCTAAGGGACCATGCACCCAAATCGTATATACCTTGGCCCCGAAGTACCTATATAGGGACTACTTGAAGGCCAAAGCATGTATTACTTGGGTACATGTACCCTTATCCCTAGACTCTAAACCCGAAACCCCAAACCCCAAACCCCAAACCCAAAACCCAAAACCCCAAACCCTAAACCTTAAACCCTAAACCCGAAACCCTAAACCCTAAATCCTTACCCCTCAGGGCTTGCAAACTTCGGAGGCCGTTTGCTGGACGACGTCTTTGTGCAGGAGCAGCCCCCGGGACTTCTCGAGCATCCGGCGCAGGCTCTTTGGACATGGCCCTTCTTGGCGTTTAGGGTTGTTTGGGTTTTGGGTATTTAGGGTTTAGGAGTTTAGGGGTTTAGGGTTTAGGGTTTAGGGTTTAGGGTTTAGGGTTTAGGGGTTTAGGGGTTTAGGGTTTAAGGTTTAGGGTTTAGGGGTTTTGGGGTCTTGGGGTTTTGGGCTTAGGGGTTTAGGGGTTTTGGGTTTAGGGTTTAGGGTTTAGGGGTTTAGGATTTAGCGTTTAAGGTTCTTGGTAATGGACCCAGAGAGCCCAATACCCATCAATTAGAAAAAATACACCTTAAACCATAGTATGAAGGCCCCTATAATTTAAGCGGTATTGGGCTCGCTGGGTAATGGACTTGATAGCTTAGGCGTCTAAGGGCTTTTGAAGATTTAGGCTCGGGGTTTAGGGTGTTTAGGGATGAGGGTTTAGGGATTAAGGAGTTTAGGGTTTAGGGAGTTTAGGGTTTAGGGAGTTTAGGGTTTAGGGATTTTTAGGTGGGGCTTGGCTTGAGGAGCTTTGTTTCTTGGACCGGGTGTAAGGCTTGGATCCTGTAGGGACGGTACTCAGAGAGCCCAATACCCCTTAAATAAGGAAGATACCTTAAGTTATAGGGGCCTTAATGTTATGGTTTACGGTATATTCCTTAATTAAGGGGTATTGGGTTCTCTAGGTACTCATAATGAGGATGCCGGGCCCAATGCATGTTGGTGTTCATTCCGGGTTTTGTAGGGGCCGAAGTAATTACCTATTATCCTATTGTTTTGGGGGGGTGCTCCATTGGATAATTCTAGTATAATATACCCCAAACCCCTACTCTAATGACTGAGGCCCTCAACCCTTAACCCCAAACCCTTGAACCCTAAACCGTAAGGGAACTGATAGTTCTTCTTGTCGGAGAGCTTGAGGTCGAGATCGCCAGGGGCCCACGAAAATCCAAAGCTGGTAATAGAGGGCCCTTAATCATTAGAGGGTTTAGGGTTTAGGGTTTTATAGGGGCCTTATAATCATTAGAATAGGATTTTGGGTTATATTATACTATAAATTTAAAAAGGAACCCCCAAAACCCTATTCTAATTGGAACGGCCCTTACAGTAAGTCCGACCAAGTCCAAAAGCCCTGTGCCCCAAATCTCCAGGGTTTAGGGATTAGGGTTGAGGGTCTACCTGAACCCCAAACAGACTACTCATTTCTTTACATAAGTCCCGAATAAGGGTTTTTTTGGTGTGAAGGTAGGGCTTAAGTTTGCATTTAACCTTCAAGCTTTCGGCTGACGCGTTCCGCGGGTATTTCAGAAATAGGGGTTTTAATATAGACCCTCAGTATCGCTTCCCCGGCAATGCGATTCGTACTCACCCCAGAGAAAAAAGTTTAGGTTAACTTTCATGAGGCGTTTGGGTCTGCAAAGGCTAAAGGGCTATTTTAGCATTTCGGATCCGGCAAGACTACAGTTTATTTGCGGCTAGCTATGGTCTCTTTGAGGCATGGCTTGAAAGGCTAAGCCATGGGAACCTATGCTTAGTTACATGACCTGTAACAACTGTCTCTCTCTCTCTCTCCAGTTTGGGTGTTCGAAGTTTGAGGATTCCGACGGCATCATAAACCTAATGATTTAAGCGCCTGCACCTCGTGCAAAGTATGAGTTGAGCTCATTTCCAAGAATCCTCCCCACAGCTGACTCAAGACCGCAGGAATGTACTGCAGGCACTGTGCGGGAACTGCAGGCTGCAAGAGCCGGTGGGATGTGGCTACAGTGCGGCCACAGTGAGATTGAAAAAGGCAAAGAGCCACGAACACGAAAAGGCAGGGACTGCCGGCGGACTGCAGGTTGCATCAACCACGGGACCCTAGGACAGGAGGCGATGCGGACTGGAAAATGGAAGGCGTAGACGGCGTAGAAAATCATTCAGGAACGGGAACATTACAAAAATGGATCCCCCCATGATAAAAAATATTCGGAGGAGAGGAGTTTAACTATCAGGGCTTGCGATTATCATGGTTCGGGCCCCTACACGGACTCTTCTTGCCAAGAATCCTAGGGAACATGCAAGCTTCTCTGGAATCAGGTCGGAGTCGGCCCCGAACCTGAGGCCATGAGGAGCAATGTGGGAGTTTCCGAAAATTAGGGGTACCTTATTTTGGGGTCCTTATAATAAGGATCCTATTATTTGGGGTACTATATTAGGGTCCCCTAATTTCGGAAACCCCCATGTGATCTCACTGCTAGTTTCTTGAGCTGTAAACGCATGAAACCCCGCTCAACCCCAAACCCCACTTGCCAGAACCCCAGATCCTGCGAGCTCCATCAGCAAACAGCGCATAAGGCTTTGAGCCTGATGGAAAAGCAAAACCTCGGCTGTGCCGGAAGAACTGTGAGGTTTGGATTTGGGGCGCGCCGAAGAGGGTTGAGGACTTGGGCTGTAGAGTTCGGAGCACCCAGGGTTTGAGGTTTGAGGGTCCGAGATTTGGAATTTGTGGCTTCGACATCCTCTGTGCCGGAACTCCTTCTCTCCTGTAGCTCCGCTGGACATGAATTGAGAATATCACGAAGTCTCTCACGCACATGTCGCTGTTTTGCAATGTGTGCTTGCGAGGGAAAATGAAGCTGGAAACAACATCATCAAGTCTTGGACAAAGGTGTGCGGCCTCGGATAAGGTGGGTTAGGCAACCACATCAAAGGGAGCTCTGATTTCACTGATATTGATTTCGATGAGAAAATCTGCGATCGTACCTCTGGCCAACGCCACAGCTTGAAATTTTCCATCAAATGGGGCTCAGAATAGCGCAGGGCATGAAAAATTTGGAACAGCCTGTTTAACAAAACTTACACAACCCCTACGCGTACCCAAACACTCACGAGCCCGAAGTGGCATGCCTGGCAGACTCGAAACCCAATACATAGCAGTCTTCAAGGAATCTAAGAATCCCAACAAGATTCGGTAGACATTGTACTACGTTCTACCATGCTCTACAATTAAGTACTCTAGAGCTTTTGAGAATTTGGGAACACATGACGGGTAGTCGTCACAGGGCGCATAAGCAGATACATAAGTCGCGCATGCCGACAAGGGAGTGATCGTGCCTGGAGAGCTTGAGCGATGGATGAGAGAAATGCGCAGCGAATGTCGTTTGACTTGTTCTGTTCTTGGTGAAGTTCACTACAGGCGACATTGTATCCCATAGAGTTTGCCCGCCCATCGTGCCATCCGTTGGAAGCTCTAAGAACGCGTCCTGCACACGGTTTCTGCGAACTTTCCTAGAACAGTGGCATAGGTGTCAAGAAGCACTTACAGGATGACACAGTTTATGAGAAACGTTTGAAAGGGGTGGGCTAGCTTGCCCAACAGCTTCCAGCAGCAATGACCAAACTTGTTCCAGACTCGCCAAACAGTGCACCACCAAATCGACGTCTGTTGCATCAGGTGGAGGCAGGTTTGCCAAGAAATCGAGCATGCGCAATGTTGCTGGTTTCGCCCTACCGATGTACACAGGAGACATACAACGGCTTTGCTTCAACGTTTGGATCGCCCGACTAGCCATCCTCGCAACCCCAACATGAGAGTTCGGGGCTTTCGGAATTAAGAGGTTTCCTCTCCCAAGCCATTTGACCAAACATGAGGCCAAACGTTCAGTGCCCATGTTCGCTTGGGAAGTCGATGCCGTCGGTGCAGCATCAGGCACGTTGCAGGGGGAGGGGTTTAGGCTTGGCCATGTTCGATGACCCAGCTTTTCTGGCAGCAACTGTTTAGAATTTGTTTGTTTGAGGGATTCTTCGGAGCTTTAGATGTTTGTGTTTTCGGTTTTCGGGTTAAGGGTCTCATGCTGGCGTATTATTTTCGGGTCTGAGGTTGGTGGTTGCAGGATCAATTCCTGAACTTTCAAGCCCTGAACTTTCAAGCCCTAGAGGCCTCAAAGGTTCACAGGGGAAGTATAAGCACTTTGCGAAAGACCCCAGGTGAGCGGGTCAGCCACACTCGTACCGTCGACAACAGCGCTGGGTCGCGCATGCATGCCGGTGAGGCCGGGCGCCTGTGAGGCTTGGACGACCGATTTCGGAACCACCTCCGTTGCAAACGTAGGGGATGATGTTTGGCAATTTTGGAGGATCGCGAAATCCGGCTGTCGCATTCTCTATTAGTATGACGGTCTCTGATTCAAAAAGGGGCGAACAATGCCCAACAAAGGAATTAGCATGGCTTCGGGGTTTTGGCGGTTTACTCCGGTATAGGGCACACTTGTCAAACAGGTGGTATGCAAGCAGATTTTAACGTTTGGGTCGCCGTCGTTCCCTGACAGGCTCAGAGTGCTGCACGCTTGGCCGAGCAGTTGGCAAAGATCGCAGGCCCTGCTTCGGTCGGCATCCTCTGTGCCTTGCAGGAAGGAAAGCAGAACACAATTTGTTTTTGTACAAGTCGTCATCGTTCTTGGTTCTTGTATAGTAGAAGTAGTAGAAGCCAGATGGTTGGGACATGATTACCCTAATGCCCTTGAGGTAAAGTATCAGGTACCCTAGCAGTAATCATCTTTCAACCACGTTCCAGCTTTCTTGGGTTTGCTGTGTTTGGGAGGGCGGAAAGCCTCAGTGGCGCGAGCGTTACGTTGATTGATAGCGATGTTCATTCAATGTCTCGCGGTACCTTTTAATTGTTGCAGGCATCCTCTTAAGTTGGGGTTTAATTTGGGTCCCTTGCCTGAGATCCCAACCAGAGGTGTTCTCAGCAGGAATACGTTTTGGGATGAGGGCTTCAGGACTGCATATGGGTAGAGCATTCTCATTATTGACTTTCCTAAGTGTCCACAAAATGAAAAGTTTTTCGACATCTCCATTTCGGTTCCTTGCAGACCTACGCTATGTAACATCCCCGGTAATCTCTAAATGACTCTGAATTAGATCCTCTGCATGAAACGTAACGAAGCAGCTCCATGTAGCAACAACACCAATACGGTGCAGATATAGATAAAGCCCATAGCATGATGCGGTCCCAATCCCGACTGGGCCCACTATTCTCGTAAATTCGCACTTTAGGTGAGCGCGACACCTGGACCCCAAACGTTTGAAGGCAGAAAACCTAAATCCTAAGCACGAAAATATTACCTCTACTTCAGAGGGCCTGGAGCCTACCAAGCCCCAACCAGAAGCCCTTTTCAAACAAGCGACCCGCCTTCCTGTACCACCCGCATGTTTTGGTGTCTCTTCTTCCCACGAGCACCCCATAGCACTCCAACCGACGCAGCCGAGGCTGGTACCGGGCGCAAGTTGCGGCAATTTCGGAGGAGTTGTGTCTGGGATTGCACCTTTGAGGTTGTTAGGGCTTCAGGGTAGGTTGAAGCATGTTGAGGTCAAGGCTTAAGGCGCACAGCGCTCCTGCTAGGAGAGATTTTTGGGTCACTTTTCGAAGCTTATACTGCTGCCAGGTGCTATCCAGGAATCCATGTGGGAAGCGCCAGAGCCCCATTTCGCCCGGCGGAGGAATGGCTTCAGCGATTGCTCGGGCGGTCTGGATTTGGGGATTAGAACTTGGGGGTTGGATGATTCCGGCTCTTCAGCGACATGATCAATGATGCTGACGATGATGAGGATGATGATGGTGATGAGGATGATGATGGCGATGATGATGATGATGTTGTTGATGGTGATGATGACGATGATGGCGATTGCGATCATGTTGATGGTGATATGATGAGGATGATGATGGTGATGATGATCCTCCTCTTTCTCCACATCCTCATCATCATTTTAATCATCATAATCTCCGTCGTCGTTTTCTTGGTCGTATTCGTTACCAGCATCATCAGCACCAAGGTCATCATTATCATCACCACTCCCTCCCCACCCCACGCTTTTTTACCACTTGCTATAATAATGATACTGATGAGTTTGATCATCGCAAGGGTTTGTTTTTCAACGAGCTTCGGCCTTGTGCTTTCGGTTTGGGAGGGTACATGGCGTCACCAGCTGTGGACGCATACGTGGCACATGTGGTAACGTCTAAATGATTTGCTGGAAAGGTACTATAAACTCCGAAAGCTGAATCCTGATCCGCACCCGGTGGTTAAGATCAGCTTTGTTGCCAGGCCCAAAGGGTGGCTTTTCGAGTTTCAGCATAATGTAGGGGCTTTAGTAATTAGAATAGGGTTTTGGGAATAAGGAACCCAAAGGAATCATATAGGTAATTCTTTAGGCTTCTCTATTGCGGAATGCCACCATGCCTCAACCTTCAAGCAGCCGTCTGAATCCTTAGGTCGCAAACTTCCAGCTCCTAAACTGAGCTCTTCTTAAAGAGTTGTCTATAGAATTGTCGACTCGCCATATTAAGGATCTATTCTGGTAAGTAACATGATTTCCATAATTATTATGGTAAAACAAAAAGTTCTTTAACAGAGAGGCCAGGAAACTCTACACATCGTTAACTCGACCCAGATACTGACCATGCACTCCCTTTATGTGCAACACTCCTACAGGTTCAGTCCTTATAGCCTAATAGGTACAAGCACCAAACTCAACGTCCGAAGCACTCTGATTTAGACTTGTCAAAGCAAGCGAGATGCAGAGCGTCTTCATCTTGACTACCCAGAACAACGTTCCAGGACCCGTGTTGATCCTGAATTGCGAGCAAACCCAGAATGACAAAGTCCAAAACCAACCGCAATGGCCAATCATGATGAAACTCCATACATCGACTCGGCAACCTGAAAAACCTCCCGCTGACATCAAGGTCGCCACGGCACAGGGCAGCGAATGGGACTACGTCTTGCTGAGCACAGTCAGGCCATAGGTCACAGTTGTCGAGAGCGGAGGATTGGATTATGACAATATAGGCCAGGCCGCTAACGGGTAGTATCCTTTCAACTTCACTACATCAAGGTCAAACTACCGGTTGCAATTGTGGCAATGACCTTAAATGCCACACGTCCGGGCACGAGAGCCCCAAGTTTCAGACCGTCTTGTGCGGAAGTGACAAAACCAACCAAGATCTTGGAGAGGTCTTAGACCCCAAACCGCTGAACCCTAAACCTTAAACCCTAAACCTTAAACCCCTGAACCCTAAACCTTAAACCTTAAACCTTAAACCCTAAGCCCTTTGTCCTTTCTGCTCAAGGCGCGGCGGCGCAGCTGTGAAAGGACGCCTTGGCTGCTGGACTGGCTTCGTCTAGCTTTTCTGTCTGCTTCGATGATGTTAGGGTGGGTCATGGGGTTGAAGGCGTACGGTTTGGGGCTCATGGTCATGATGCTGACGATGATGTTCGGATCGTCATCCTCGACATCAGTTGCAGCAGCCAGCAGTAAGCAGCATGAGGATTACCATCACAGTTATCCTACGACGATCTTTTGACGCCGACGGATGCCGATGGCAACCGTAAGTATCGGTCACTTGCGACCCATGGTACAGGACTCTCAGTGATGACGAAGCAATATCCCTGCTTTGTACCATGCTTTGGGGTATTTTTTCTCGTTCTGCTGTGCAAAATTAAACAACTGGTTTCGTAAAGCTGAAACTCGAAGATCATTGAATAGGGCTTGTTGTGGTATACTGTAGTATAGCTCGATGGGGAGCACAAAGGATGCGATTATGGTTTACTTCTATAATGAATATAAGGGACAAGATTAGCAAGTAATCCGAAGGCAGTAGCCGTAACCTCCTGCCGAGGAATCGTCGCGGACCCGCACATTCTCAATGTTGCCCTGACGCGTGCTCGACGCGGCCTCGTCGTCCTCGGCCACGAAGCTACGCTGCTTGTTTTGCAGTAAGGGTTATGGTCTAGGGTAGGGGCCTTAAACACAAAATTCGAGTAGAATGTTGCAAGTACGCTGTTTCTATAGAGAAAATAAGTTGACAAAGAAAACCGACAACGACCGAAGGAACAACAAATCCGAAATAAAGCCCTGAAAGACAACTTGCAGTACTTTACGGGACTTGATAATCATGACACCACTATATTGGTACATATCGGTACTATTAGCGGATACTCGCTCGTAGTAAGACGAGTAATCATGCCAACCCTTATAGTACTCCCTGAAGCCTGGAGATCCACGTAGTGCCCGGACCAACAGATCAGGTCTGCCACATCGGCTTTCTCTCATCACGGCCAGACATGCAGCCGTAGCAGTGGCAGCCATACAATAACTAGCATACCCTGAAGTTCAGCTGCCCTGACCACCCTAATCCCAACACCCTTGAAGAATAACCCCCCTGAGCCCTAGACCCCTTAAAGCCTGAACCCTAAACCTACAGTCTCGACTCAATGGTCACAGTCGGCGGAAGTAGGGAAAGCCGGCAACGGCATGCACTCGTTGCCGTGGACAGGGTTTAGGGTTCAGGGTTTAGGGTTTCGTGCAATCACAGCAGCGGTCATAGTCTTGCGCAGAAGACACAGTCCAAACATACCAACATTCCCAAAGCATAAACTCTAAACCACTAACTTCTTAAATCCCTAAAGCCTGAACCTTAATCTAAGCCCGCAATCCCTGGTCTTGATGATCCGCAATCATAACATACCATTTCCTTCAGGCAGGCTCAAGCAGTTAGGAGAGTTCAAGCGAGTTTTCCCCTGTACCCTAGACTCCGCTAGGCCCTAAACTCCTCAATCCCTGAGCCCCTGACCCGCTAGACCTTTAAACCTAAAACCTTATCCTAAATCCTACAGAACCCAAACCTGTAGCCGAAAAGACATACCTTTTTAGGGTTCCATATTGTGGTTCCACATATATATATATATATGTATATGTATATGTATATATATATATATATGCCCATATATATATATANNATATATATATATATGTGGATGGTTCCTTAAAAAGGTAGGTCTTGTAGGCAACAGGAACCTCATGATGTCGACAGTTCAAAGAAGGAAGCCTTTCCCGGTCCAGGTTGTCTCAAGATCCGAACTGGAAGGCGTTCTTCGACCATTGCCAGCAGACGGCGGCTCGGATGCTTTCACGTTCTTTGGGAGCTTTCCGATATACTAGTATAGCTTTACAAGAAGTATAAGGGATGCTATCATAGTATAATTCGCAGGGAATGAAGCTTCATCATTTAGGCTTCTTGAGGCCGATTACAAGCATCGTTGTAAGTTGTGAGTTCTGTTAATGTCGGCGGATACCATTTCGCGTATCTTGCTCCAGGCACAAGCGGCCTCAGATCAAAGTCGGCTCAAACTGGGCCGCAGCTTGCAGTCTCCTAAACTTGAGACCCTGGGTTTAGGGTTTAGGGTT